GCTTTCCTCCTGAAAACATGGTGGGAACATGGTTCGGTAGGAAAGCAAGCAATGTCCTCAGTTTCCCTGCCTGCTTTCAGACAAGATTCCCATTGAGCAAGTTACAAAGAATGCCGCACTTATGCAGGCTGGGGATATGTCTCCGAACTTTTCACATGTCTAGCTTATGCTTTCTTCATTTGGTATATTATACCAGAGCACATAAAATCACTGTGCCTCACAAAGATATATGTAAAATGTTCAGTGTTTATTTTAAGGACCAACGAGAACCTTGGCCCATGTCTGCTGTTAATAGATGTATGGCCGTTGATTTAAAGTGTGCAGTGGAATTTGATTAGGAATGGTATCTGACTTTCTTCATATTTAACTCACAAGTTACAGATTAAATCATCTGGGCTCACAAGATGACCTAGAAAATATGAATGAATCAGTTGCATGGCCTAGGCTGTCGGGCTCTGTCTTAAAGAACAGGGTCCAAGGCTCACCCATGCCTTCTGCTATCAGCTGTGACATCGTATGGCCCTTCTGGGGTAGCCCGAGTCCAACCCTCTAAACAGAGACCTCTGTGGGGTTTCCTGAGCAAAGATGACAATGACTTTTAAAGAAAGCCGCCCTAGAATGAACCACCTACAACATTATGGTTGGAAAGTTATCCACTAAAGAGAAGAAAGCGTCAAAGCAGTCCTCCTGGGAAGGCAGCCCCAGACTGGGAGGTACCAGTAAGCGGTGATAAAGACAATAGTTTCGTGTTCAAAAGGCCCAGGAATTACATAGATAATAGAAAGAGAAGCCATGAGAAGGTTGCTGTATTAAGGGAATACAGAAAGTATTCCTTGAATTCGCTTTTTTAATCTAATATTTAGTCCCTACTATGTGCCAGGTTAGTCTTTGTGAATACAGGAGTGGGTAAGAACAGAGCCAATCCTAACCCAGTAGTGTGTGTGGTCTGAAGGCAGCGGCCCGTTAGGAACACGCATACTTATAAAATGTGATATGGCCATGAAGGAGGCCACAGATCTCTTCATGCTCGGCTCACCTGGACTCACTGGCAGGGATTTGACTCTTTCTGGAGAGTAGCAGGGAAGATGACATTAAAGAAAATTGCTAAGTTTTTGTGTTAGAGAACTGGGCAGATTTAGCCAGCCAATGGGAAGTTATCCTGAACTGGACGGCTCCGTGGGTGGAAAGGAAGATTTGCTGTAAGTATGGTAGCTGCATGGCTGTCTCTCCTGTGGTAGAAAGCGAGCAGCCAGAGGCATCTAGAGGAGCCTGTAGCCACCATGGCTGTCTCCTGGGAACAGAGAGAGGAGCTGACTGGTGAGTGCCGGAGCTATCTCTCAGGAGCAGAGAGAAAATCGGAGCAGAGAAAAGCTTCGCGGGTTCTAAAGGAAACTGTTTGGGAAGCCTGTAAACTGGAACAGCCTAGGAACTGGCATAATGGAGAAGGTGGGAAGAAGAGTCGGGAAGCTAGCCCGGGGCCTTTGGTGTGCATAACTAATGACCGCATGTTAATAGGGACCCAGATACCCCACTTGTCCAGGTAAGAAGGAATGACAGAAGTGGATCTTCTTGGCAGAAACCATTTGACTAGTTTCTGAGGGCTGCTGCTTGTGAGTTTTTAATCTGTCATTCAGCAATCCCTCTGTGTCCAGATCACTGCCATTTTAGGGGATTTGGACCTAACACTATATCCATGTATCCTCCTTGGCTACTATGCCTGTGCAGGAGAGGGGTCCTCGAGCTCCTCACCTTCAGAGAGTCTCTGAACTGGTCTGCTGCTGGCTGCAGTTCAGGCAGACTGATGACAATATAGTCTGGGCTGCTGATAATCAAGGGGTGACCCCACCCCCAAGACCCATGCGTACCATTAAGACTTTTCTATCTTTTGACACCAGAGATTTCAAGCTAGCAGGAGCTATAGTCCCGGACAAAGCCTGCCTATCTGCCCTGGTGAATTTGATTCTACTGGCAGTTACGATCCCTTCCAGATGTTTTAGATTAAACTTGGGGAAGCTGTGTTTTTACTTGATTAAATCACAGCACTTGGCTGACATATTTTGGCCTTTTATACACTCCTTAGAGTTATCAGCTAATTGCAGACACTTCAAGAAAATAATACAGCATGTGTTTATTGTGACAGACCCTGTTAGTATGTCTGCAGTCAAAGATTCATGGAAATTTTGTTTTACCAGATCCTGGTTACACGTTAGGGTTGGTTCAGATATGTCGATGGAAACTCAGGAGCTTACATGAGCAGACACGCCATGTACTTGTTTTGGGAAATGGAAAAAAAGACAGACCCAATAGTTTGGCTTTCTTCTTATACTGTTTTGAAATCTTCAGTTATGAATGATTAAATGATTGATTCAACTTTCTCGGGGAAATCTGAGGAATTCTTGCAAAACATCAACACACAGCTCTGCGTTGTTCTGCTGCCGCTGCTTACTGAGGCACTCCCTCTGAATTTGCTCCATTTCTTTAAATGTGGTCTGTTTGGAGCTCTCTCCTTGAAGACTTGGAAAGTGACCCAGGAAAGCAGTATACAGTGGGGGAGGGTAGTCATCACATTAAGGTTGTGGGCCACTTGAGGAAGGCAGTATCTTGTCCTAGGATACTACCAAAGGCCTAAGGTAGGTGGACCTAGGAGAGGGAAGCATGGAGAAGCTACGAGCCTGTTCCCCAGATGTATCTATTGTTGGGGCTGTCCCTGGTGTCAAGGTAGACTCATGACAAGGGGGAATTAAGAGCTCAGCATTGAAACAAAGCATCCAGAGCCAAGTACAAAGGGACTTGTCACTCCAACAGTGACAGATGCACAGCCAGACATGACATCAGAACATTGCATGTCCCTGCAGCCGGGACGGGGGTTAGCAGGAGTGAGGCACGAGGCCACACCTGTGTGGGGTAGGGAGGGTCTCTGACTAAGCTAAAGCTGAGGGGACCACCACCCAAGTGCAGAGTCAAGAGGAAGCTAAAAGCAGATAGGGTCATGGGCAGGCAAATTACTAAAACCTCATGAAGCTGTACTGCAAGAAGGGCCTAGGAAATGTGCATTCAAAAACTGAGGAGCCGGGAGATGGCTCACTCAGTAAAGTGCTTGCTTTGCAAGCCTGAAGACCTGAGTTCTAGCCTGGGGAGGCAGAGACAAGCAGATCCTTGGGGCTGGCTGACTAACCAGCCTAAATGAGAGACTCTCAAAAAGAATGTGGGCAGAGCCTGAGGAGCAGTACCCAGTGTTGTCCCGGGGCTTCACAACTAACATGTACACACATGAACGCACACACACACATACGCGGAATGATTCAAAATAAAATTGGCAAAGAAAGAAATGCTACCTTTTATAGCTTCCAGCTGTAGCGTCTCCTAAAAGTCATGCCGTAACTACTGACAGCTGAGTAACCTTTACTGTTTCATCATCTGCGCTCTAGATAAAAAATTTTTCTTAAAAAAAAAAAATTTCTTAAGCTTGTTTGCTCATTTCCTTTTACACTGCTGCTCTGAGGATGCCCAGATTTCTCCCTGGAATGGGTAAATATTGTCTTTCTTGAGAAACTCATGTGTTTTCCTTCCCTGGGTCGAGATGTTCTTGAGTACCTCTTCTGCACTTGCAGTAGCAAGGAGGGCTTGGTGCCAACCCCACTGCTCACGGAAGATAAGCCCCCCTCCCTGCCCCCGCACATTTTCCCTGAGCTCTCTGCTAGTGCCATCTCCCTTTCCTTACCCTTGAGCCCATTCTCTGAACTGCAGTTTACTGCCCTTTCCATTTGATCATGTATGGTGGGGTTGTGAAAACGTAAGCTGGAACAAGAGGTTTCCCTAAGTAAACATCCATGCAGACAAATGGACATTTCCCGGTTCTAAAAGACACTTCTGCCTTCTACAAACTGAATTCTCCGGATTGTGCCATTAGTTGATTTCACAAATACCCTTTCACACGTTCAGAAATGGTACATTTTAGCTCTCCGAGACATCTCAAATTTCATAGTAAGTAAGCCCCAACCATTTTTGGTTAGCAGATTAGTTCAATGCCCCCTACTTCTTGGTTGAAATGTCAGTCAGTACCCAACAAGGGGTAGAATGCTTAGATGGTGAAGAGAAGCTTCCCTGGCCCCGTCAGAGCCTTCCTGGTCCCCAGGCTCTTGTTCAGTCCCTCGTGACTCAGCTAGAGGACGAGTCCCATCTGAACAAGGGCAGAGAGTCCACCGGAAGAGAAAGCAAACTGTAAGCTGCGAAGCGCACCAGGTCAACTTTCCAGACAGGAAGCTCTGACAGGAGTGTGACCGCCATGCCTGCAATGAGGGGGCATCCCATCTCTCTCCAGCCACATCCGGGCTCGCTCCTCCTCTCTGCTGGTCACTCTTTCTGTGCCCTGCATGTTCCCCAGCTGTACCCCCAGCTGACCCAACAGCTCTGTTAAAGTCCCACTGCAGCTGCCTTTTCTAGGTACCCTTAGCATAGTATCCCTGCAACGGTCCCCATGACCCTTCTGGTTTATTCCATCTGCCCCTTTAGCTTTGCTCTTAGGGCTGGCCATTGTGTGTCATGTCACAGGGAAAGCCCCACGGGGTTGTGGGCACCATCCTCCAAGCCCAACTGCTGCCATCTTCACAAAATCAGTGATGCCTCCTTTGAGAATTCATCTCGGTGGGGCCTACCAACTGTTGACATGTTCACATCGTCCCCAGGGAAGCAATTTTAGAGACGGCGTTTGTAATGCCATACTGAATCTCTTGGTTCAACAGGACTCATGTATAACAGGTTCAATAAAAGCCTAAAATAAATACAGAAGGATCGAGTGGATGAATGGTTCTTAGAGCTGATTGGACACTCAGCGGCTCCCCGCGCAGCCTGGCTCATTAACGTGTGGTTTTGACAGTGGTGCATCACCCAGGGTTTCTCCCGCATTCTGATGTCCATGAATTTCTCTGTCTCGTGGTACTGTCTTAATTCTCTCTTAGTAGAACAGGCCCATTGACTGTTTTTACTTCCTCTCCACCTAGATTTTAAAGAAATCTTGCATCGAAATTCTGGCCGCTGAACCGTCTACCATATGCGCAGGAGGTAAATGAAAACTAAGTGCTCACCGCTTCCATTTGGTTGCTATTTCGAGTTCAAATCTCTATTTGCTTCATGTGTAAGGGCGTAGAAGTGGGACAAGAGACAGGTAGGTGTGACTACAAAAATCAGAAATTGCTAATTAAATCTGCTGTGAGGAAAAGAAAAGAAGGGAGAACCTTGTCAGTTCCCGGGAAGTCTAAAATCAGCCGTCAAAACCCCCTTCTTTCACGGGACATGAGTACAAGGAGAGTGTAGAAACGCTGGATTCTCATCTTGATGCAAGGCTGATCCCAGCGCCACCCCGCCTGTGACTGCCCTACAGATCACACCAGGGGTCACAGTGAGCCCTGGGCCTCCCTTGGAATCTTGTTCTTAAGTATTCTGTGTACTCGGCATATTTATTTGGCCTAATTGTTCCATCTACCAGGACTCACAAAATGGTGGTAGAGAATTCCAGGCATCACTGTAAGGTCTGCTACAAGGTATCATCAGTGGAGGAACTCTCCAGAGAGCAGCCTCTCCTTTGAATCCCAGTATCATCTCCAAGTGATGAAGACTGGGGCTTTGGCCAGCTTTGCAGTATGGGCTCCTCCCACTTTAAGGGTGTGTTCTCCCGATGCACAGGCGTCAGCTCTGTTTCAGCCATGTAATGGGCTTTTTAACCTGTTGCGGGCCAGGCACATTGCTGGGTGCTGGGGGTACGAGGATGGACTCTGTGGGTCCCTGTCCCCCTGAACCTTTTGTCTTTCACTATTGAGAGTCCCTGTTGATGCTCGAGTTCTAGCCTCTCTGAACACCAAATGCCAGTCATTGATTATCGACAGAAAATACATCACCCAACCCGGATGAGAAAAGCTCGCTTATGCATATTTTACTGGTATAATCAAGGCGCTTGCTTAAGGAGTTCCTTCTCAATTCTTAATTGGATTTTAGAGGAATTGAAAATGGCCAAGGAGGCAGACACTAAATCTGTGTCAACATCACAATAAATGCATACATGTTAGCAAGAATCAATGCTTATGTAAGTGTGCACATATGTATAAACTCCATACAAATATTAATGCTTATGTGAACACGTGAATACATACATATAGGTATACATACACGTGTATGTAACGTTGTTAGCAAAATACATAGTGGCTATACTGAGCTAGGTGTTAATTTACCAAGGAAAAGCAATTTGAAAAGATTTCCTTTCTATATTCAAATAATTCATTTTTTTGGCAGCACAAATGGCAGGGGAATGTCTTCAACCCAGGGCACACTCCAGGAGAATGTCTTCAAAGAAAGCCTGGGCTGATTTACATGTACAGTCCCATCACTTGGGAGGCTGAGGCAGGAGGATGGCCAGTTCAAGGGCAGCCTGAGCTCCAGAGTGCACCGTGTAAGGAAGAAGTGGTGGCCTGGAGGGACAGTTCAGGGATTAAGAACACTTGCTGCTCCTGCAGAAGACCCTGGTTCCCAGCCCCCACAGGGTGTCACAGCCATCTCTAACTCTCACTCCAGGGACCTGATGCCCTTTTCTGATGAAACTCCAAGCACACACTTGGTGCACACTCATCCATGCAGGCAAAACACACACACACATACACACATAAAATGAATAAATCAAAAACACAGGAAAGGGAAATTTGCCAAAAGATACGATCACATAAACACATGTCGGGGTGTTGTAAAGGGCCGTGCAGTGCAGAGCCTAAACTGGACTGGAAAACTTCAAGGTCAGTCACCCTGAGCTTTGGAAGCGTTTTGTAAAGGAGTGGACTGTTCGGAAGACTTGAACTTCGTGTATTGTGTGTGAATACAATGTGTTTTTTATAATCCGGAACTTTAAAGTAATTAGAAGACAAGGAAGTCCCTTGATGGTGCAATTATCTCATGTGTGATGAAAACCCAGGCTTTGGTTTGCAACCTTGGCTGTGGAGCAGCCCTGTGATCCATCAGAAAGCCTGCAGGGGATGGGCAGCTTCTCGTTCTCAAGAATCGTTAGCTCCTTCCCCTAAGCACCATATTTCTCTGCCTGTCCCACTGCCTAGCAGAGTTCCTGGCACTAAATTGGCCATTAGTAAAATCTGATGAGTGTCTTCATTTAACAATTACCTTTGGCTTTTTTCTGTTTGATCCTTTTTAGCTCCTTCCATACAACCGTAAGAGGGCCATCCACTTTTTAACTGTTTAACTAGAATGAAACACAATTTAAAAAAAGCAATAGCCATTTAGGCAATAGAAAAAAGCCCCCTCAATAATTCTAAACTCAATAAATTACTTAGTCTCCCTCACATACTGTTAGGGTGTTTGAGACAATTTAAAAAATTGTATACATAAACTTAATGTATACGGCGCAGAAGTACTAGGGCCCCCGAGATCTGTCAGATTCCCTGAGTGGGTTGTCCAGTGGCAGGTACTGTGTGAGGTAGCAGGATATAGAGAGGAATAAGGTTTTTGCAGGGTAATTACTAAGGGTAGAATTTGGGCTCAAATAGCCAGCTTCACATACAAACAGGTTTAGGGAAAACCTGGTTTCATTGATACAGGAGAATAAAAGCACATGTCACTAAAGGATATGTCAATAACCCAAGTGCCTGAGGAGCAGAACCTTTGCAGAACACATCCAGGCTCGGACTGCCAGTCTGCAGGCTTTGAGTGATCGTCCCATGCATTCTTTTTTATCCACACTGTGGTTTTTAAAGATACAGTTACTATGCTCAAACACCAATGTACTTAAGGAGTCCAGTTTTTGTACTATCTTGGGAAATCAAACCTAGTGACAGTGGCGCTGTATTTGCCCAGGATAGCTGTTGTTGGGAATAAATGAACTAATATGCATGTATTTCTTCCCACTCAATAGCCCCTATTGTCACCCCTGACTCGTGGCCATTCTGCTCACTCCTTTGTCTTGATTCAATCCCTGTTCCAAAGCACACAGTAGTCACCTGCTGTGTGGCAGCTTTGACACCACCTTCGTTTAAATAACTTCCAACACAGATGCCTTTGAAGGTTCTTATTAACCATTCGTGCGTGTCCAGCTCTGTGTGGTTAGGAAAGTTGGCCCATCTATAGGCTGCTCTACCTACCTGAACCCCTATTTAGGAAACACACACCATGCCGAGCTCAATGGGTCTCAGGCTCAGAGTTCACCAAATACTCTATAAGCATGGACTCCAGGCAAGAACTGATTGGGATCCAGTCTGGTCTGCATTTAAAGTCCTTACCAGCACTTCTGGAAAGGAAGCTATACCAGTCCTTCACATGACATTTCAGAGACCGTCGGAGTATCCCCCTGTTTCCCACTGATTCTGATGAGGCGGGGAAGGTGCATACAAGAACAAACCATTTCTGCCTTCACGTCTGATGTTGAGATTTAGATGCCTGAAGGAGCCTCATTCAAGCAAAGTCAGAAGGGTCTCATTCCTTGACCTGCTCAGTGTTCTGCAACGCACTCATGCCTGCTGCTAGACCCTCTTCTGAGTGGAATGTTTCATGGTCTTCTGAACACACACACTCCCCTTAGTTTAAGATATTTCTGATTGGAGAAGAACTCTCATGTACTGGCGATGAAAATGCCAAGTGGGAAGCCCACAGTGAAGACCAGTTTCTTAAAAAGCTAAACAGTCACTGACTGAATGGCCCAGCCTTGCCATCCCTAGACATCTGCCCAAAATAAAAGGAAAAATGAAACCTATGACCAGACCAAAACCAATAGGTAGTTGCCCATACTAGCTCTATTTTTAATAGACCCAAAGCTGCAAACCACTCACATATTCATGAGCAAGTGGATGGACAAAAATATTAATTTTTCTATATGTTGGAATAATACTCATCCCTAAAACAAGCCCTGGGTAAACCTCAGAGTAAGTATAGGTGAGCCTTAATTGCGCTGATGGGAGACCCAAGCCGAACGCTTGTTTGTGTGACCCCATTTGATGAACTCCTAGAATGCTGGACCTGATTGATGCTTTATTAGAAAGCAGAGCAGCGGCTGCTCAGACAGAGGGAGGAACAGGGAGAGATGGCAGAGGCAGTGGAGGGGAACAGTGATGATGGTAAAGAGGTCACCATCCTGTCTGCCTTATGTGTCTCTCATGTCAAATCCTACCCTCTCCGTGCATGCTAATGTACCCCAGTTATGACTCACAGACCTTGTTGTAAAATCCCAATGTTCCAAAGAATGTTAGGTGGTGCAATAAGCATTTACCAGGAAAGAAAACCCAAACCGACTTCCAGGATGAAGTGGCCCTGACTGTCGTGGGACACAGCAGTATTGAAAGAGCAGAGCAAGGGGGAAATATGCAAATATCTCTCTTTCTAATCCAGTGAGTGATGGGAAGCCATCCCAAAACTATGTGTTTTAATTAAAAAAAAAAGCCAAAAGAAAGAAAACTGAAGAAAAGGAGCGTGTAAAGTAGGTTTGTCAAACACCTTTCTTTTTTTGCTCTTTTTAAGTCACAAACTATGAAATTTGCCCTTCTAAAGCATACAGCTGGTTTGATGTTGTTAACATATCAGTGTTGTGTGGCCACAGCAGCCACCTAATTCCATAATGCGTTCATCATCCAGAAAGAAAGAAGCTGTACCTAGTGAGCCATCATCCCATCCCCCACCACAGCCGCCACTAGGCTGCTTCCTGACTTTGCTAACTTGGGCAATTCCCAAAAATGGAATCCTGCAACATGCAACCTTTTGCACCTGACTTCTTTCATTTAGCACAGTGTTTCTAAGGTTCCCATGTTACAGCATGCATCAAAACCTGGTCTCTTTATGGTTAGGTAATATCCTTATTTATCAGTTAATGGGTATCAGCTATTTCTGTTACAGGCTCTTATGAACAGTGCTATTGTGAGTTCCTGTGCAAGTTTTTGTGTGGACACACAGCATTCATTTCTCTTGGATATCTATCTATGTTGCCTGAGATTTCTGTCCCACCAAGTGCCGTAGCCTTTCAGTCCCAAAGAAATACACAGAGGCCCGCATTAATTATAAACTGGTTGGCCTAGTAGCTCAGGCTTCTTATTAACTCTTACATCCTACATTAACCCATAATTCTTGTCTGTAATGGCCATGTGGCATGGTACCTTTTATCAGTGAGGCATTCTCATCTTGTTTCTCCTATGTCTGTATGGGTGAAGATTGTAGACTGAGCATTTCCTCTTCCCAGAATTCGCCTGTTCTCATCACCACCTATACTTCCTGCCTGGTCAACCCACCTATATTTCCTGCCTGGCTACTGGCCAATCAGCATTTTATTAAAGCAATACAACTGACAAATCTTTGCAGGGTACAAGACCATTGTCCCACAACATATCTAGGAGCAGAAAGTTTGGTTCATAGTGTAATCATATTCAAAATTTTGATGAGCAGCCAGACCATTGCCAAAGAGATTTACCATTTTACAGTCCCACTAACAATGCACATGGATTTTCCTTTCTTCACCTATTCCTGTTACTTTCAGTATAGCCGTCGTATCAGGTATGAAATAGTATTGCAGTTTTTATTTGCATTTCCATAATAACTAATGATGTTGAACATATTTTCATTTGTTGACCTCAAAAAGTACCCAGATTAGACCTGGCTGGGACCTGAACATGTGAGCATCTTGCCTTCCCCCATTTTGTTCTTTCAGTCATCCAATGAGCTTACATGGTGGTAAACCCACCCCAGGTTAGCAGGACAGCATCTAGAAGACATAAAAATGCTAACATCTCTCATCAAGAACCTTAAATTACATGTTTTCTGCCTTGCCTTTGTCTTGAGGATACATACCTTAAAGGAGAAATATCACCAAAGATTAAATCAAAGACATAAACAATTTTCTCTGAAAGATCACAGTCTATCCAGAAACTTCCTGAAGGAGCTGGTATCCTACAGAGAATTCTGTGTTCACATTTTCTGTACACACCAAACTGTATAGACTATGAAGGGTCAGTTGTAGGGCTCTGGGGATAAGGGACATTAGAGTGAGATGATCTGGATGGGGTGTATCCTGGTTCCTCATTGCTACAGATCCATTGCACAGAGCTGGATTACATAACTTCTTTGTACAAGAATCTGGCATTCCAATGAGGCTGCTGGGTCAGATCTTTGAGCTGTTCTGGAAACCAAATGTTTGTGCTAACGGGGAAATTGTGCCAGGCAGGGTAGGAGCCTGCGTCTCACTCCTGCATCTTCTCCCCAGGCCTAAATGGTTGCATGGTTTGGTTCCTATCGTGGGCCCCTGATGTCTTCCTTCCTCTACTCCCTGAGGCTGGGCCAACCAGACATGTGGGGAGCTGCTTTTATAGACGGTTCGACAGCTGAGCTGGCAGTGCCGAACATGGTGTTAGAGAAGGGAGCTTGGCGTGCAGCCTGTGTCCAGCATCTCTGCTCCCTTTGCTGATTTCTGAGGAAATGAGAGGGAGGCCAAAGGCAAGGCATAAAACATGCGGAATCGGCAGAAGTGTCGACCAGATGTCTGTATGTCTGGCATTCAAACTAGAGTCCCAAGATAGGTTTCCCCAAGCTTCATTGAGGAAATAAGATGCAGTAAGAGACTTTCCATCCACTGAACTAGCCAATGATCAGAGATGGGCCAGGATGGGAAGCATCTAAAGTTTTAATCCACCTTTCTAAACTTAGCAATAGCTTGTAAGTATCAACACGCATGTATAAATCCTCACTGCTCGTGACTGTAGCCCTGAAAAACCACGCTGATTAATAAAGTCCCCAACCAAGGTTCTGACCCTGAGGATGTGAGCACAGTTTTGCTAGCTCTGGGTAAATCATCAAAAGATCGCAGTCTTACTCCCTTTCTCTTCTGGCCCCAGTTCTTCTGAAAGCCCTCCTTGTGTGTGCTCTCAACCCACCGTGCCTCTGGCTTCCTCACAGCTGGTTTCCTGTTTCGTGTGTGGTCAGCCTAACACAACCGACAGATGAGCACACCTGTCCAAAGTTAGTCCAGTGATGGGCATTGAAGAAATCACACCGCAACTCCTTCCTTACTCAAGGCTCACAACACAGTGAGCGTCCGTTTTCTGTTTCAGAGGATAGTGGGCGACAGCTAAGCTAGTGGCCCCTGGTGCCTGGCTGCCCTGGATTCCAGACCAGGTCTGAGGGTTTTTAAATTGGTGCGATCTTGAACAATTACGTAACCTCTCTGAGATCACTGTCAGCTACACTCCCTGGCCTGCAGGGGATGGAAATGACATCAGATCCATACAAGGCTCACCACTGGGCTGGCACAGTGAGGGACCATTAACTATCACTTATTGCTTTGGCAAACAAGATCTTTGAATTCCATGGGAATGAAAGTGACATAAACTCATGACATTTATTTAACATTGAAAGAGTCCCATATGCTGGCTTTTTAATTCCATTTTTCTGCCAGCAAAGCCTCTATTCGGGTAGCAAGTTACTTTAGGTCCACTTTCACAGCTTTTCTTCTGGGCTGGAGTTCAATTACAAGTTAAAGAAAAAAAACTTTAAAAAAAAAACTTTTAAAACCAGTGTGATGGCATACACTTATAATTTTAACATCAGGAAGGCAAAGGCAGGAGGGGTTCACTGGCCCTTTAGCCTAGCCTACTTGGCAAGTCTAAAGTCAGAGGAGACTCTGCTTTCAAAACCAAGGTAGACAGCTCCTGAGGAACAACAGCGAAGGTTGTCCTCTGGCTGCCACATGCAGGTGCACAGGCTCACAGGAATAAATAAGTAAATGAATAAACAGAACGGATACTTGATATCATCAGACATAAACCAGTATTCTTAAGCACTTTAATAATTGGATTATTTTCCTTGGTAGGACAATCTTATAGTTTTTAAACCTATAACAATGGCAATCATACATCTAATAACTGGACATACATGAGTGTGCAGTTGATATGCGAGCCCATGAGGTCTCTTCTAGTCATGGAGAAATGGCCCTGTCCTGAAGGCCCAGTGTCAGTCCAAGCAGTCACACTGGACACCTGAGTATGACGACTCCTGGACCCTGCACTGCGCTGCACAGGACAGCCATGCATCCAGGAGAAGGGAAAGCTGCAAAAGTCATACCACTGCTAATTAAAGGAATGCTTTTCTGTTTGGGGAGAAAGAGATCAAAGGGCACTACATAGCTGCGTGCCCAACAGTGGCTCACCAACAGGCTCTACGTGCCATGGGCCGCAGTTCCCAACACTCATGAGGTATCTTGGCTCTGAAGAAATCCTTTCAGGAGATTCCAAAATGTAAATCAGACTTGAGGAGGGATGTTGGGAGGAGTGGGGGACCCTTCTCTGGGTCCCCTCTGGCTGTTTTAGCACTGTCTAGACTTGAAAAATGGATAAGATTCAAATAGAAATGGGGAGGACGGCAGTGCAGGCAGGAGCAGAAGCAGGGAGTGGCACTTCTGAGCAGGGAGCCGCGTCTTCATTGAGAACACGGGAGAGAAGGGGTCAGTGAGCGGAAAGGAGCCTTCACGCTGTCCTTGTTCTCCTACCTGACCTGATCCCTGGGCTTCTGAAGCCTACAGAAACAGCAGCCAGGGGCTCTGGAGTGGACAGAAAGCAAGTCCACAGGTGATGGTCCAGTAATGTGTGCTGTTGTTCCTCGTTTCAGAGTCTTTTCAAGTGGTCGTAAGAGGAAATGGCTTCCGGCACGCCCGCAATGTGGACAGGGTCCTCTGCAGCTTCAAGATCAATGACTCGGTCACACTCAGTAAGTCCTGGTAACTTGAGGTTGGGACGGGGGACATTGCCAGCACAGCCACTTACAGGGGCCTTCAGAGAATTGCTCAGTGCTCCCGAGGCCTCCAGTGAGAACAATCGGTCCTGTTGTGCCCTTGGTTCTGACCAGAGTCTGACCACACTGGGTAGGAACAGCCCGAGGGTACCCAGCTTGGGGATCAGGACAAGGCTTGACAAGAGCGCTCAGTGCCCCCACACACACACACACACAACATAGAGTCAGACCTAAGGAGGCAGGGAGTGCCTGTTCCCTTCTTATGGTTTATCAAGTCCCTCACCCCACCCCCGCTGGCCCTGCAAGCCCTGCTTAGTTAGGGCCTGTTGGAACTCGAGGCTTCTCAGCCAAGCACTGGAGATTCTAAAGAAAGAATAAAACAAGATGGTCTAAATTGATCAATCTTGAATAAAGCAAAATCCAGACTACTGGCTTGCATGCGTAGATTCCGGGACTTTTTTTTTGTTTTTAATCTGGAAGGTTCTTGACTAGAGTAGCCAAGAAACTCTCATTGTGGTGCAGACTTTGCATGAAGCAGGACAATGACAATAAAACTAAAAGCATCTCATGAAGGAAAACAGGCTGTCACAGCAGCCGGGCCTCTGGGAGACCTTTGCAGCAGGCAAGATCTGAATTTAAAGACGAGTGACTCAGTGGCCGTCCAGGAGAGATGGGAGGTCTGCTTCCAGAAAGGCAGATGGCGGGAGCCTGGCGATTACTTGCATCTGGTGTCCATCATGAGGACAATTACTGGCTCCCTGTCTGCAGTGATAAACAGCAGCCACACTGGGCTGCATTTTCCATCACGCTGTGTGCTCCTTGCTGTATCCTCTCTGCTCTGCAGCGCAGAGGTTTGGGAGGGAAGGAAGGCAGACCCCCACCCACAGGCAGCTCACTGGTCGCTCTGGGTTTTCTCCTTAGACCCCCAGAAGAGAGAAGATCTAACTCTATTTTGATTAGGAAAGTTAAAGGGCACACCTTTTTTTTCTCTCCTTGACACTTCAAACCCTCTTGATAGCTTAAACACAAGCGGTAGCTTCCTAACAGACATCTGGAATTTCTGGCTTGGGATAATATCAAACATTGAAAACATTCAGTTAGTTTTATTAAAATTTGGAATGCTTTTGTATGTCGAAAATGTGTGTGCTTCTTGAAACCATTTTTCCATGTCCCTAAGCAGCCATAGTGTGGAAGCTGCTTCCTACGCCACTGTAAGTTCCCACTTTCCCTCCCGAGTTCAGACCCCAGGAAAGTCAAGAGCTCTGAGGATTTGAACTGGCCTCTGTGGGGCAAACCGTGTGTGTGTGTCTGTGTGTCTGTGTCTGTGTCTGTGTGTGTGTGTCAGGGGCACAACACATGGGTCAGAGGCGCGCTGAAGCCGGCACTTGCCAGCTGATCAGTTTCTCACCCCTTTGCCTGCACTGCCTGTGCCCACTCACTCACAGACAAATACAGGCCACTGGACTAGGGGGGCACCTTGGACTCCAAACTCATCCTGCTCCAGCACACTGGGGACTACAGAAGACAGAGACAGTAAATTGATCCCAGAGAGACTTTGCCTGGCACATAGCCACCCTGGATGCGGAAGGTGCTGAATTTACTCTCAGTTCAAATATTTAAAATCACTTAGAAACAAAATATCAGATAGGACTTCTTTGACACAGTGACACGCATCTCCATGAAACTGTGACACGCATCTCCATGACACTGTGACACGCATCTCCATGACAGTGACACGCATCTCCATGACACTGTGACACGCATCTCCATGACACTGTGACACGCATCTCCATGACACTGTGACACGCATCTCCATGACACTGTGACACGCATCTCCATGACAGTGACACGCATCTCCATGACACTGTGACACGCATCTCCATGACACTGTGACACGCATCTCCATGACACAGTGACATGCATCTCCATGACACAGTGACACGCATCTCCATGACAGTGACACGCATCTCCATGACACTGTGACACGCATCTCCATGACAGTGACACGCATCTCCATGGCGATACTGTGACACGCATCTCCATGACACAGTGACACGCATCTCCATGACAGTGACACGCATCTCCATGACACAGTGACACGCATCTCCATGACAGTGACACGCATCTCCATGACACAGTGACACACATCTCCATGACACAGTGACACACATCTCCATGACAGTGACACGCATCTCCATGACAGTGACACGCATCTCCATGACACAGTGACACGCATCTCCATGACAGTGACACGCATCTCCATGACAGTGACACGCATCTCCATGACACTGTGACACGCATCTCCATGACACTGTGACACGCATCTCCATGACACTGTGACACGCATCTCCATGATGACACAGTGACACGCATCTCCATGACAGTGACACGCATCTCCATGACACTGTGACACGCATCTCCATGACACAGTGACACACATCTCCATGACAGTGACACGCATCTCCATGACAGTGACACGCATCTCCATGACACTATGACACGCATCTCCATGACACAGTGACACGCATCATCTCCATGACAGTGACATGCATCTCCATGACACAGTGACACGCATCTCCATGACAGTGACACGCATCTCCATGACGACACTGTGACACGCATCTCCATGACACAGTGACACGCATCTCCATGACAGTGACACGCATCTCCATGACACTGTGACACGCATCTCCATGACACTGTGACACGCATCTCCATGACACTGTGACACACATCTCCATGATGACACAGTGACACGCATCTCCATGACAGTGACACGCATCTCCATGACACTGTGACACGCATCTCCATGACACAGTGACACACATCTCCATGACAGTGACATGCATCTCCATGACAACACTGTGACACGCATCTCCATGACGACACAGTGACACGCATCTCCATGTACAGATCTGAAACTCGATGTTATTCCAAGACTATGTCACTATGAAGAGGTGGTCACTTTAAAGTTGGAAGGAAATAGAGAGTCATCCCACCTCCTCTGTGATGTTGATCTGATGGTTCTAGCAACACCATCTTGTAAATGGTGGGACCGTTCTAGGGAGCTAGCTGCTGTGGTTCCCACATGCGGAAGGCGGCTGTTGATACTTGAAATGTATGATTGGGAAATTTGATTTGATTTCACTTATTTTTGTTTAAGTGCTCAAAACCGCACATGGCCAGTCTCTGGCACATTAGACAATGCATGGCACCCTTAAAGACACCAGGAACTAAGGGCAACATTAATACTTTCAAATACTTTGGAATGATCTTGCATTCCTAAAAACCAAGAGTTTATTGCGAGACAACATTGCTAGACAATAGCGGGTAATTAAACTGAATGTTACAGAATTAGCCCCTCAGTAATTTTTTTTTCTAATTTCCTATTAATTTTTAGCTACCATACAAATAATGGGTTTTATTGTGATATTTTCGTACCTACTCATCACTGTTCTTTGCTTGTGCTCACCCCACCACTGCCCCCAGCTATAAGCACCTCAACTTTTACTACCTCTGTTCAGAGTTCAATGGCGACCATTAGAAAACATTCCAGGGAGCTGAAGAGGTGGCACAGCAGTTAAGAACGCTGTCTGCTCTTCCAGAGGACCTTAGTGCAGCTCCCAGCACCCACATCAGGTGGCTCACAACCGTTTATAACTCCAGCGCCAAGGCATCAGCTCCCCCACCCACGTATACATATAAATATAAGTGAATAAAATCTTTTTTAAAATAAAAATATCCAGGGAAAATGTAACAAACAAAATCGATTGAGAACAATTTGTCCAGACATACAGAATGACATATGAATGACATATAAGAAAAGCCTTTGTGAGGACTATTTTAAACATGGGAATAAATGTGTGGTCTAGACTCCAGGCGTAGGGCCGTCTCTGGAGACAAACACCAGGGAAGAGCCCTGGCGAACAGGTTATCCGACACTTTGTGTCTTGGTTTTTCTCTGTGTGACGCTTGTGACGATAGCATCTGTGTTCTAGGCTGTTAGAGGCGTAGTGTGGCAGGTGGGGCACATCACAGGCTTGCCTACAGACAGCCGCCCAGTCCTGACCGCGCGAGCTATTTCATTATTACTAGGAACCATGTCACTCTTACTAAACAGAGAAATAAATGAGCATTGTAAAGATATCACTTATTTCAAATTTAATATTTACTTTTAGTACAATCCCAGAGAAAATCCCCATGGTGCTTTTTAAGTTAAAATAATTTTAAGCTTTATATGGAAGAATAAACTACAAGATTAGCCAAGTAAAATGCAGAAACTGCCTGAGCTGACTTTAGGACGAACCAAAAAGGCATAGTCGTTCAAAGACTGTGTGACCAGTATAACTGGCAAACGGCAAAGGAACAGAGCGCTAAACAGAGCCAGACTCCGGCATGAACTTAGCGTTAAATTAAATGACCATTCCGGTCATGATGCTGGGACAGCTGGCTAGCTGCTTAGAGAAACGATGAAGTTTGATTTTTATCTTACACTTTACAGTTAAACAAATTCCAGATGACCTGAAAATTTTAATGTGAACATGAAAATATAAAATTTCTAGAAAAGTAAACGTTTGCATAATTACCCAGGGTATAAAGATGTTGAGCAAAAAGCGACTGGGCTTGAAGGAAAAATTTGATAGCGTAAGCACATGTTTTGAAATGCTCCTATTACCAACCCCAACAAAAATCAAAAGGAAAAGGAAATAAAAGAAAATTATTTATAATATATATAATACGGGGTCAAACGTTTAGTATAAAGATATCTGCTGAAGTCAGGCATATAAAAATAAAAATTTAAAAAAAAAGGAGGGAAATGGGGCTGATGTGATGGCTCAGCAGGGAAAATTGCAAGCCTGACGAGCCGAGTCCAGTCCCGGGTCCCACCGTGGAAAGAGAGAATCACTGCCCAGAGACCTCCTCTGGCCTCCATGCATGTGCACACAAATAGTAAAGTGGTTTACAAAAGTAAAAAA